GCACTGTTGGGATTCATCTGACTCAAGATAGGATCCCAAATGCAGACATTACTGAAGATGGTAATGAACCTTCAGGTTTCATAGAAATGAAAAAATACTTCACTAAATTACTATAAACTTATCAAGGAGGTCTCCACTATGGAATCAGTCTATTTCATTTTGCTTATCTTATGTATCTGTTGCAATAGGATGAGACTGGTTGTAGCGAGTCTCCTACAGAAATGGAGATGAACGTTTCAGATGAAACAAGAGACAGTTGCAGTGAAGTGCATGTTGAAGAAATGGAAACCAAAGATTCAGGTCCTAACAACGGTGAATAATGTAAAGATCGTCTGTGACACACCACTTGGCTTTTGTTGAATGTGATGTATAATCAAGTATCATGGAGACCACTGCCTTCTTGGATGTGACATGATGCAGTCTGGTAGACATTTACCCTCCTTCTACCTGACTAAATACTGTGATGTGTATGACCACATTGAGATAGTTTTAATTCNGTGTGTGTGTGTGTGTGTGTGTGTGTGTGTGTGTGTGTGTGTGTGTGCGCGTGCGTGTAACAGTGAATTGTGTAAAACAGCGATAGTGCTGTATTGCTTGTAAGTATGAGTTGATTTTATAAGGCCTTAATAAATCCAATTACCAATCTGAACCCCATCTATAGTCACTATTACATATGACAATACTATCACACCCCAGAAGGTAGTACTCGTTACAGATGCTGCCATGAGAATAAAAAAATCTCACACTAAGTACCAAGTTTATAATACTGGGATTTAAACTGTTATGTTTATTTAGTCTGGATATAAACAAAATAACTGATATGTCATGCCATGTAGTTTGGTGCATAGAAGACTTAAAAGTCTTCTTCCCTAAGATGAAGCACATTCATGTGATACACTGGTCCAGTCTACCAGGTTAAACAGCAGTACATCCCGAGTAATCTTTATAATCACTGCTCTACGAATCTCAATTCTTGCAACAAAGTAAGCAGTACATCCCAGAGTAATCTTTATAATCACTGCTCTACGAATCTCAATTCTTGCAACAAAGTAAGCAGTACATCCCAGAGTAATCTTTATAATCACTGCTCCATGAATCTCAGTTCTTGCAACAAAGTAACTGTTTTCAACCTGTGTCATTCATAAATATAGAATCTAAACCACTCAGTATTATGGGGCTGACAGAAATATTGTGTAGCCTCTGAAAAGAATATTTCACCTCATTTGGAGTGGAGCGGGAACTTAACTTCATGAACACTGTCACTGTGGCCTGAAGCTGGGAATCCACACACAATAGCTAATTGGGTGTAAGACCAACATACTTCATTTTTTAATATACAGGGTGTCCATGCAGAAAAGAGTCAATATTTTAGGAGGTCATAGTATCTGTCATTCTAAGCAAAAAAGTATATATGTACATGCTTCTTATTCCGAACAGTTTCCAAGATGAGCTATTTTACTGTACAGTTCCAGAATTGTTGATAAGAAAAGAGATATTGCGTACTGTTTCTAATACCGGTATTTATTGTTCAAGAGACAAAGTTGGCACAGTTTACTAAGTATAATACACTGTTAACATCAATGCACTTTGCAACTCGTGTGAGGATATGGCATGTTGCTCATCTGTTCAGTGTACTGTACAGTGAAATAGCTCTAACTCAGAAACTGTTCATAAGAGGATCCATGAATGTATACAATTTTTGCTTAAAACAACCGATACCATGACCTCCAGAATACTGACCTTTCCTCCTGGTACACCCTGTATATTAGATAAAGCTGGTATGTGAATTACAGAATGCTTTGGTGTCTACATACCAAATAGAACACTAGAGAACCACCGAAATCAAGGGGAAATTGAAAATGTTAACTGAAGATTTATGTTTCTTATAAAGGAAACTGTCTTCTGTGACATACCAGGTAGTCCAGTACAAGTCCACTGACATTTCAGAGGCACGCACTGCTTCCATATTCAGGGTCAAAGGGTAAACCAAGCAAGAAACCAGCAATAAGGTGGCAAGAAGAGTTTCTCCTTGGTTCCTGCTTATTGCTGGTTTCTTGCTTGGCATATTACCCTTTGATCTTGAAGATGGAGGTGGTACCTTCCTCTTAAATGTTAGTGGACTTCTGTGAAACACAACAGAACATGACCAGATGGAAAACTGTGTAGTCCTCAGAATGAGTCTGCTTACATTTTCATAAACTGAGTTTATCACTGAAAATTCCAGATCATCCAAGCTTTGTTTCTCAAGCATTAATACTGTTGATTCCCTGGAAAGTTAAATGTTCCATTCTATGATTCCTAGTTAAAGGTAAATATTTATTTGGATTTTTTTTTTTTTTTGCATGTTGCTTATGTATATAATAACCGGTAAGAGACACAAGGTGAAATAAAAAGAATTCATTCTGCCAATTTCATATAAACTATATATTTCTACAAGGTCTGCATCCTAGTGCTAATTTGGCACATCTGTTAAAGGCAGTGATGTTATACATAGGGGAAAGCTAAAAAAACAGTCACCAGCTGGCTGTGATGCAACCATGTTCATGCGCTGGCACAAAAATATATAAGACCTGAGGTTAACATGTTTCTTTAAAGCAAATATATTACAACTGTACTGAGTTTAATACTGATACGTACATTAAATCATGGGAACAAAGGCACAAACTTGAAAACCTGAAACTCTGAGAATTCTGATATAACATTTAAACACAAAAGAAATTAACTCTGGATCTACATATAAACAAGTATACATAAATAGGTATACCTCACTTAGCAGCTTCTCATTACAACACCTTAAAAACTGTTGTACAAGATGTACATTTAAAATGTAACCCAAACAATAATCACATACAATGTTATAGAAATTGAACCAGAAGCCCTACCACCAATGTAATGGACCCTCCAAACCTTTCTTGTGACTGTACAGTCATGCTCACCCTGGTTGCTAGGCTGCTGCTGTTGCCAGCTAGGCAAAAACTACAGGTGCAAGCAGTGTATTCAAGAGCACAACATGTGTTTGTTCTTGAACATTACTTCGCATTGAAATTGTTTGCTGCTGTTCGTGAAGCATTTAGCAATATGCACCCTCACAAGGAAGTACTGAATATAATAACACTTGTAATAATAATACTTGTAACAAAATTCTGGGATGCAAGAAGTGATTTACATTAGTGACTTACCAAAAGCAATAAATGATAATGCTGAAATCGTTCTATTTGCGGATGACACTAGTGTAATCATTACTAGCCTTAACCCTATAAATTTGAAAAGTAGTGTTAATAAAGTTTTTCAAGATATAAATAGATGGTTCACTACTAATTTATTGTCACTAAATGTTAAGACACAATTGATGCAATTTATAACTATGACTAATTTTTATCAGAAGGGAACATATATGAGGATTAAGGTGTTTAATAGTTTACCTGTTCCAAAAAAGGATTTGTCACATAATACAAAACAATTTAAATCAGCCTTGAAAAATTTTCTGTATAATTAAATAAATTACTTAACAACCCACTATTTTCCTTATGGTCATCACCTCTCTTCTCATGCCATCTCAACTACCGCCACGTTATGACAGGATCAGTATTATTATCTTTCATTGCAGAAGGTAAGTGCATGAAATTAAAAAATACAATCATGCATTACATCGCATGAACATACCCACTTAAGACATGCGCAACTACCCAAACATAAGTTTCCTCAGTTTGCACCTGCTAATCTGGAAATCAGCAACATTTCTCAAATCAGCAACATTTCTTGGAAATTGCGGTTGCCAGTTTCCTTGGTGTGCACTCGCCCTTAGAATGCCTAATTAACACACTTGTGATACTAGTATCAGCGGTGAGTACTCTTGGCAGGGATTTTTTTTACCCCACTAGCTGTTGATTTTTCCAGAAGTAAACCTAGCCCCAATGTATTTTCTCATACTTCAAAACCGCTACCATAATGAGTTAAACTATCCATAGGTTTTTTCATTGTTTGTGTGGAAATGTCAACTTGCACTTTTAGCATTATGCTGCTAAATGGCTAGGTTACTGCTATTACAGCTTTAATGCAAAATATGGCATATGGTATATATGGGCGATGACCCCAAGAATACTTTGAAATAATTAATTTTTACTAGTTTTATTCATTTTAATTATGGTAAATTTATTTTAAATCACATTTACACCTGATATGAAAATTTTTACATACTATGTAATGCAACAATTTCAGTGAAACAGCAGACACCTGATGATGGCCATGTATGACCGAAACGTTGTGAGAAGAAGGGGAACTGATAATAAGTAACGTTGGGGATAGAAAAAATATATTGTATGAAACAGATGGTATAGGAGTATATGGAAAATCACCATATCTTTAATAAGTCATTGTCAGGGAACCAAACATTGTTAAGTGAAGTATACCTGTACAAACTCATACAATTGTCTCATGTGGTTGAACTGGTCTCTTCTTTTTTTATTTTCTTCATTACCAGATGACTCTCATCTCTTGAATCATCTGGTGACATTGCAGATTCATTTTCCAGCTTGTCCAGTTCATGTTTCACAGTTCCTTTCTTCAACCATGACTCCATGAAGACTTGACTTTGGGAAGCTGGTTTTGGTTTCCTAGCAAAAAGACAGTAAACTTAATTCAGCTCAGGATTATTGAGTTTCTGAATTCAGTGCACTGTCTAGTATTCCAAACAGAACATTTCTGGAAATTAGATCTTATCACATCCTCAGGTAAATAGATGGGGCACTGAGTCCATTAGAAAGAGCTAACTGCATTCACCAGACAGTTGCCTCCAAAACTTTTTCACCTGAGGACAGAAATATTCAGTTTCCAAAATATGTTCCATTCAGAGTACTTGACAGTGGATGAAGTCCAGACACCTAGTAATCTCAAATGTATACACCATCATCAGAGCCCTTTATAATATTCCTTACTACAATTCCACCAAAATGTTAGGACTAAAGTGAAACCTCAACCAAGAATCAAGACTACAGTAAATTTGCAAGGTGGTCAAGCCACAGGTATTCCTCATAAATTAGTGGTGACAATTTTATGACTGACAGAAAACTACCAACCTGTCCAATTGTCCACTACCAAGTGATCTATCCTTGATAGAACTCAGGTCAAAATTGAGATCTTACCACCAGAGAGAGTTACGACATTAACTAGAACATAAATAATGTAGGATTTGAGGTTCTCACTGTGATGATTATGAAGAGTTCTATCTTCTGGGATGCAATGCCACGTAGTCCGTTGGAAGTCAACTCAGATTCAGAGGAACATGTCACCTCCTTCAGGGTCAAACAACAGGCCAAGCAAAAAACCAGCATGATAGCAGATGTCAAGCAGAAGACAGAACTAACATCTAAAAGTTTGTGACAGTATATTGCTACAAGTATTATGTTTTTGGACATTATCCATCGTCTTGTCAATTTTCTAAAAACTGTCCTGTTTCTTTTTTAAAAATGTTTCGGATACTGGATTCTGTCCCCATCCTCAGGTAAAACCTACTCAGTTGGGTCCAATAGATAGAGCTAGCCCCTATCTCCAAAGAGACAGGGGAGATAGGGGCTCAATCTAACTCTTATCTATTGGACCCAACTGAGTAGGTTTTACCTGAGGATGGGGACAGAATCCAGTATCCGAAACATTGTGTTTTTAACAAAGAAACAGGATGGTTTTTAGAAAACAGACAAGACAATGGATAATATCCAGAAACATAATACTTGTAGGAGACAGAACTCTTCAACACAAATGTTTGGCATAGTAACAACAAGAAATGGCAAAGGACATATGACTGGTTGTAATTACACAGCAGTGTACATACTCAAGATTAGGGGATCTAAATGCAAAGCTGGACAGAGAAGAAATATATAGTAACATCTCTGAGAAATATACACCGCATATGCAACTGCACCAAATGACGAACTATTGGCAGAATTTATAATAGCCAATAACATGGTAATTATGAGTACCCAATTCCAACATAAAGAAATACATAGGGGTACATGGATAGCACCCTACCACAATACTGTTAATCAAACTGATCACGTCATTATTAGTGCAAGTAAAAAGGACCTTATAGAAGATGTCAGAACAATGCAAGGACCTAATATAGACTCAGACCATTACCTTGTTAAAACAGTAGTAAGGCAAAAATTACCCATAGCTTATATGAAAAAGAAACTCATGATGAAGAAATGGAACAAGATCATATTGCATGATCTCAAAAAACAGAGACAGTACAGAACAATATTACACAAAGAACTGAGTGAAACAAATTAATTTTCAAATGTAAATGAAGAATGGAAATTTATTCGGTCCAAAATCGTTACAACAGCCGAAGAAGTGGTAGGAACACAAGTCCAGGTACCTAGAAGTGAATGGTGGGACAATGATTGTAGGAGAGCAATAGAAGATAAAAGTAAAGCAAGACAAAGACTCCTACAATGTAGAACAAGAGTTACCTATGATCACTATCAAGTTAAAAGAAACAAAGCAAACAGAGTCTGCAGAAATATAAAGAAGAAATGGCTAAATGACAGAATCCTACAAATTGAGGAAAATCATAGAAAGAATGAAACTAGGAAGTTTTTTAATATTAGATTTATGAAAAAACACAGTAGTGCATTGCCAAGGATGTGTAGAGATGCTAATAGCTATTTAATACTGCATCAACTACAGGCATTAGAAAGATTGAAGGAATATTTCATCAAAATGTAAACTTTGACAGAAACAGACAAAATCTCAGATACTATGGATGAGTCAGCGGATGATAATGACTTGTACACTGAGCCTCCAACATACAATGAGGTATGTACAATAATCAACAGACTCAGAACAATAAAGCTGCTGGACCAGACAATATTACCCCAGAGTTAATTAAATTTTGTGGATGAACCCTGAAACAAAGGATACAGTATAAGCTCATACTGAAGATATGGCAGGACGAGTAGATCCCTTCACAATGGAGGGAAGAAATCATAGCACCGATACATAAAATAGTTGATAAGTTAGCATGTCATAACTACAGACCAATAACTTTATTAAATATCTCATATACAATTTTTGCAATTCTACTGAACAAGAGACTGGTTGGTAGCTACTATAGAAAGTAAATTGGATGAGTGCCAAATGGGATTCAGGCCAAAGAGATCTATGAAAAATGCTGAGAGTTTAATATTGATATTTATAACATATCTGTAGACTATACACAAGCATTTGATTCTGTTAAGAGGTGTCAAATAATATACTGCCTCAGAAACTACAATGTTCCATCCAAACTAATCAGACTAATAGCAGTAACTCTCCATAACACGAAAGCAAAGGTTAAAATAAATGAGGAGCTTAGCAAAGAATTCCAAATAAGCTGTGGAATGAAACAGGGTGACCCATTATCCACATCACTTTTCATACCGGTTATAAATGAGATCATAAAAAGTCTAGATGTTAGATGTAATATTTCCACAGGATTAAAACAGTTTTGTGCATATATCGATGACATACTCATTATTACGAGAAACAAACACTGATTAACATCTCTGAAGAGCTGAAAAAAGCCTTGCAAAAGTATGGGCCGTTTGTCATTGAATAAAAAACTAAATTCCTACACTGTTCAAACAAACCTGAAATAATCCAAGTTCTCAGATGCAGTGACATAAATATAGAAAAAGTTTCTCATACAAAATATTTAGGGTCTATAGTTAATTCAGATAACACAATCAAACAAGAGAATAAAGAGAGGTTAGCAATTGGAAATAAAGCATAAGCTGCACATTTAACACTGCTTAAAAGTAAACAAAACAGCCAAATTTCGACCAACAGCCTGCGAAACCTGGACACTCAAAGTATCCATTACACATAGACTTTGAAAGGTAAATTCTAAGAAAGATCTTTGTGCCATCAAGGAACCATGATGGCTCCTGGAGAATTAAAACAAATGACAAACTAGATAATCTAATAAAATGAAGGAATATAGTTAACTTCATCAAAGCCCAAAGAATAAGTTGGCTTGGCCACATCTCAAGGATGGAGGCTGGATGAACAGTTAAAAGAATATATGACTAATATTAGATTAGACGGAAAGATGACATATAAGGGAAGACCTAAAGGATTTAGGAATTTATAACTGGATAACTCGCACACAAGACAGAAGTAGGTGGAAGGAAATTGCTGAGCAGGCCAAAGCATTCAAGAAATGAAGCTGTCGAGCCTTATGACGATGAGAAGGAGATGAAGAAGAAGCAGTAGTAGTAGTAGTAGTAGTAGTAGTAGTAGTAGTAGTAGTAGTAGTAGTACATACTCAAGGGTAATGGGTTTGTTGCACTGAGGTTCCTTGTTGCGAGAGTTATTGACCAGAGTGGACACTGGATGCCATGTTAGTAACTTCATGGGACGTATCATTGCAAGCGCTGCTCTGGAAGACACTCGTTCTATATCCAACCAGTCCTGTGGGAATAAATAACAAAATACTAATGTTCTGCTCGACACCGCCCCCCTTTTTTTCTGCAGATCTGTGCATTTTATAATGCTCATGTGGCATACCGAGTAACCTGAGTGCTTATGTTAAAACATGAGATATCAGTACTACTGATATGGTACATACACTATATGATACTGAGCCCACAGTCATGAACAGAATGCATTATCAATTAATTACATTCTAACTACACACATGAAACATATCTGTTCGACAGATAAGCTGGGCACATGGCAGGGCACGGGTACTTCAGTTTGGAATTAGCTGTGTAACTCAGTTAGTACAGCAACTGGCTATAGCCTTGATGAACTGGGTCTGATTCTTGGCAGAATGGAGATGTTTCTCTTCATTACTGCCTTCAGATTGGCTCTGTGGCCCATTCAGCTTCCTATACAGTGGGTAGCAGGGGCTCCTCCCCCAAAGATACAGCAGCCGAGGTGTGACAATACCACTCTGTTGTATCTACTGTCAAAAGTTAAGAAAGATTGAAGCATCACCTCCACAAGAAGCCCAATGATAGTAGTAACCCAAATTATACTGTATTGTAACATTCATGATGTCATTAAATTTCTACTAGCTTCACATGGGGCTGCCCTCCTCAAACTGGTAGAGAGGCCTTTAACCTTTAACGCCCGAAGTGCACTGATTGGTACAGCGATGAGTGTGGTCATCATGGCCGAAGTACACCAAATTGTGCAGTCGGGCATTTAAACCCCGCTAGCAGAAGTGCACACACACTTCACTAGTAGAAGCAAATGCTCAATCCTATATATTTAGTGGAACCTCACTTAACGAGCACATCTCATAATGAGTAATTCACATAACGAACAAAACAAATCGTAAAAAAATGACTCGCTTAACGAGCGATGTTTCGCAATAACAAGTGACGAGAGGGGAAGTCCCAGATTGTGCGCTTGCTACATCAGTCTGTGTTTAGCACTCGTTCCGCTAGCATCTTAGTGTCGCTTGTGATCACACATTTTTCCAAACTTGTGTTCAGACATATTATGTGATTTTTTTTTGTGCAAAGTTTAATAACCCTTGCAAAAATGTCCCCTGAAGAAAAAGCCGCAAAAAAGACAGCCATAAGAGAATAAAAATAACTGTAGAAATGAAACGTAAAATCATTGAAAAGCGAGCACGAGGTGTGAGCGTGGCTGATCTAGCACACACATACAATCGGTCTACATCAACGATTTGGAGTTGCATTGTGTTTCACAGCACGAAGTGGTGGAGGAGAGTTTGTCAGAGGAGGAGGAGGAGGTAACAGCAAAGCAACAATCTTCTGGCGCAATAAGAAAAATGCTGAAAGCATGGGAAACTGTTTCATCGTACAGTGAGAAGCATCACCCTAATAAGGCAGTGGCTATGTGCGATACAAATTTATTTTATGATAATGCTGTGTCGCATATTCACCAAATTTTGAAGCATCAGCAAAAACAAAGGTCTCTAGACAGCTTTCTAGTAAAAAAGAATTAGATATGTACCATAAATAATAAACCAATTAATTCGTTCCCCCCCCCCCCAAATCGAATTCGCATTCCAGGTTGGTTCATTCTGCATAGAAGAAAAGATGAAGATGATTCACGCTCCTTAACAATGTATATATAATTTTCTTTGAATAAACGTTATACATAAAATTTTTTTAGTATTTTTTCAGCATGTAACGCATTATCGTATTTTACATTAATTTATATGAGAAAAATTGTTTTGCTTAACGAGCGTTTCACATTACGAGTAAGATTCTGGAACGAATTATGCTCGTTAAGCGAGGTTCCACTGTATATCAATAAACATGATAACTTCATTAACAATAATGACTTTACTGAATTGTCACATGACATTACCAACAAAGTACAAGGAATTACATAAACAATTGTAAAAACATAATAAAACACAAAGACAAATCGAAACTTATAAACATGAATCCCCGCGCACCACACATATACGGCACTATTAAATTACCTAAGCAGGGACAACCCATACGACCAATAGTCAATTGGACAAACTGCCCTGCATATAATCTAGCTAAACACTTAAACACAATATTAACAAATACTTTACAACTACCTAATGCCTTTAACGTGAAAAACACTAGTACACTAGCACACTCATTACAACTCATTGAAATAAATAACAATACACAAATGTGTTCTTTCGATATCGAAAATATGTATACCAATATCCCCACAAAGGAACTTTTCAATATTGTTGAAAATATTATAGCTACGAATAAAAACATTTCATATGAAATAAAAATTGAAATTAATAAACTGCTGAAGATAATGTTAGAACAAATTATACTGAACATAGTGGCAAATGGTTTAAACAAGTCCATGATTTATTTCAACCATCTTCCAGTGCATACACTCCTCTCTCTCGCACTACATGTTTCGGCACAAAAGTGCCATCTTCAGGTGCTTATTCGATTCACGCCAAACTAGTTCATTGCATGCCCTGTCATCCTCATATTAAAATAACTAAAATATATGTTTATCATATATATCAATAAATGTTAAATGTTAAAAATATTAAAACTGTTCAAGATTTTTCATCTCTACGTCGTATCTCACCACGCAAGTCACACCTATCCTCTTCTGTCGGAGCACTCTTTCACTATCGTGTATTGTGCTTTGTGTTGTGTCTTGCTCCTGTGACTGCGTGTGTTATATTTTGTTTAAACACACACTGTGTGTGTGTGTTTAAACAAAATGAAGGTCTTGCCACCGGAGCACCAACTTCAGCAATTCTTGCCAAGGTATTTATACAATACCTCAAACATACATCTACGAGTATTATTGATATTTTGACGAAATACCAAATAACAGATTATTATTGATACGTTGATGATATTTTAATCATTTATAATTCCCATATAACTAACATTGAAAATGTGTTGTATGAATTCAACAATATCCGCTCTAATATCAAATTCACAGTAGAAAAAGAAATAAATAATAAGATTAGTTTCTTAGATTTATTCATCGAAAAAACACATGAAAACCTACAACTACTGATCTAATCATCCACAATGATTCATGTCACCCATCTGAACACAAAAAAGCTGCTATAAACTTTCTAATCGATTGAATCAACACTGAACACATACAAGACATAAAAAATAATGGACAAAGCTCCAAATTTGCTCAACATATATTGAACACCACACATGAATACAGTACAATAGACAAAACATTAGAAGTTCTATATATCGGCAAGAAGGGCCGAACCTCGGATACATATGAAAGATTTCGCATTTACGATATCAGCAAACTAAATTTGCAACTGAATGATAATTTTACCGAAATGTTTAACCCTATATATGAATCACTGATACATACAAAACATAATATACAGTCATACCCCCTCCCCCCCTTCCACATACACCTTATCTCTACCTCCCCCTCCTTGCATTGACTTTAATCTTACATCACCAAATCAGTCGTTTACATTCCCCATAGAATGGACAATACTTTGTAAGATGAGGCACCGACTAAACAGTAAGTAATATACACTATATTACTTTCATATCATTTTCAGATTAACATTAATATTACTACATCTACATCATGAGCCTCCTATATAATTTTTATATACACAAAATATAGAATATTCCAATTTGTCCGTGGGAACGCGATAATTACAAAACCGACGACTGACTCTATGACGTAAAACATCAATCAAAGAATTTTATTCTTGTTTTATACTATAACTTCTGTTTTATATAATCTAATTTATTGTATTTCTATGTCAAGTATTTTTTTATATAATTAATAATATCACATCCAATTTTACTAGTACTGTGGTTCAGTGGTGTATATATTTTAACCATGTATTTGCCTGATGATGGTTATTATTAGCCGAAACATGTAGCAGAGCCAAAACTAGGCACTGATCTCGATATTAGTTGTGTTGTGATGGTTGTAATAAAGAGGTTGCATATACTCACTTGTATTTGTTCTCCCTCCAGAATGGCTGGCATGCGATGATGCAACCAGGCCAATGTATTATCTGAATCCAACGTTATCACACTATAACTGTATATTTCTTCCCCCTGAAAGACAACAATTGGATACTGTATGAATACTAAACATCAAGATTTAGAAATGAGGAGTGAATTTATAAATTTAAGTTTCATCATTTATCTAACATAATGAATATTCTGAGCTCTACTTCAATGATCACTTTGTAAAGTGTTGTGACAAGAGAAATGGTAAGAGCAACTGTGCTTTTAAAAGGTTTAAAAGCCTTTTTTTTTATAGAATTTAAAACAAATTTTGGCAGTGTTTTGAATTTTTAGTTTACTTCTGTTCCTTAATGAAAAATATACAGGATACCTCTACCACTATTTCATCTCCTGAACCAGCTGACCAATTTTCACAAAATTTGGTATCGAGGCTATGACATTCGAGTCCATTCAAATCTTCTACTTTTAATTTCCTATAATCAGTAATAACATGACTGATACATGAACTTGTGAAGTGGAAGCAACAATAGCAATACTCTCACTACGTTAATTTTCTGCAGAATATAAAACCAAATGACAGCTACATGAAGTCAATAATGAATTCCTGAAAGGGAGGGGTTTTGATATCAGTCACCTAATATCTGGTTTTGCTTTATGCTGGTTTGATGGTTTTGAAATTACTTCTTTATCAGCCAGCCTCTCCACAGCAGGAACAGCATATTGTAATGATTCAGAGACAAACCTCTGAAGATGTCCATACATCAAAAAGACCAGCCATATACAAAAGTTTTGGACCTCTCCATCCACCAACTTCACTCCAATCACATGACCATGTAGCTGGATCTTCTATACAGACCTGCAATGCAAGAGATATCAGAGAAAATTATGAAAGCCAACAACCATCATTTCTCTACTCATTCACAGTGCACCTAACATCTCACTCTTAGTACAGGAGAACTTCTGGTTTCATGTCTAGAACTATCCCCTTGAAGCAGAGTCCTTCAGAAGCTAATAGTCACTCAGCTAGTCAGTAAGTTAGTTACCTGCCTTTGATATAGAACCCACAGGTACATTACCATTATCACAAGTCTCTGCCATTGACCCCCGCCTCAGCCAAATGAATCCAGTCCACACACTGCCATCCTATTTCTTTAAGATCCATTTTAATATTATCCTCCCATCTATGTTAAATCTTCAGAGTGGTTGCTTCTGTTTTGGGTTTCCAATCAAAATTCTGCACTAGTAGATACTTGTGGGGTGTAGGATGAAGGGACAGAAGCAGACCTAAAGTGAGTGGCATCAGTTCAAAAGGTACTGGCCACGAGTGTACTCGTGTAGTTCTCAGCTGGACTGAACTATTGCAATTCTGCTTTGGCTCAGGTAGTAGTTGCTGATTCATGCTGCTACCATGCCTTCACTGCTTCTGACTTTGTGCATTGCATACAAATTTAAGATCAGAGTCATATACTGCATGCATTTCTCGTATCTATCACTTCTTCTACACAATCCATCCATTCTCTGATTTGATCATTGTAATAACACACGGCGAAGAACAGAAATTACAAGGCCCCTCATTATGGAGGAGTTTCCTCCAATCTCCTGTCACTTCCTCCCTCTTAGGTCAAAATATTCACTTCAGCACCCTGTTCTGCTAATATATATGCTACATACACAAATTATAAGTGGCTGTATCTTGATTTTCATGATGACAAGCGTTCAGATTGTGGTCTTCTGGGTTGTGACACCATGTAGGTTCACTGCAGATTCTGAGCGAGTCTTTCCAGTATTAGCTGACCACATCCTCATCCTATCATATCGACTCTGATGATGGAAGCATGTATTTCTCTAAAACTGGTATCCACCAGCAATACTACATGGTGTCACAACACAAAAGCATAGTCACCATATGCTGCATGCTCCATGGATTTAATTAGTATACATAAATATGAAGCAGACTGAAAAGTATAAAAATATTAATAAAACTCAGTGTGGCAAGTTTTGAAGATTACTGCCTTCTGAGATGCGATGCTGTGAACCCTGGTAGAAATTCAGCAGCATTTCAAAGGAACACACCGTCTCAGTCTTGAAGCTTGAAGAACAACCCAAGCAAAAGATCAGCAAGAAATAGGAAGTAAGTCCTCAACTCACTCTTCAGCCTTGAAAATGGAGGCAGTATGTTTTTCTTTTCCGAAACACTGGTGAACTTCTATCACACTACATGGCATCACATTGCACAAGGCAGTACACTTCATAGTCACCATTGTTAGAACCTCAGATCTAAGAGCAAGTTTTATTTTCACAAGACAAAGCTAAGTCACAACAGAAATACATACAGTGAAATCTTTATTTAATATTTCTATGGGACAGTTGCAGGATCACATAAACTGAACATCAAATGAAGGGAAAACATAAATCATGGTAACACATTCACAACCATACCTCCCTGTACCAGGATTTTTCCATGAAAACTGGATTCTGAACTTACTACAGTCAGAATATAAATAAAAAAGGCCAGAAACAATGGTACTGTATTTTTTTATTCCTTCAAGTTTCAACAAACTATAAAAGATAAAACAATTCCATCCAGTGTGACTGGTGATGTTTTTCTTATTTAAATTCTTCATGCCCATGCATCTTTTATAATATTGTTAGTGTGATGGACCAGAATGAAACAAATCAAATTCAACAAACTAGATTTAAACATTCTGAGCATCTGAGTGTCATCTGTTACTTTCCTGTTAATATTTCAATATAAATGTAATGATTTTAGCTCAGAATCAAACACCAAATCAGTGCATACACAAACCACACGCGCACTTATAGACATGACCCAGATTCTCACATTAAAATTAATTTTACTGCTGCATATTCTCACATTTACACTTATATATGAGAAAGAGTCAGCAAATAGGTCACATACTGATAGAGAACACAGAACATGTGATATTCAAACATGAAAAAAAAAAATCTTGACATATCCTCCATTAACACTGATACACTTGTCCCATTACTTTACCAGTGCATCGAAACCCACACCATTTAAGTCTTTTTGACAACTGTCTCAGCCACTTCGTCACATCATGAACAGTCATGAATGTTTATGAAGAGGAAGAGTGCTGCTACCTAGTGATAAACATATAAAACCTATTGTGTCCATTACAGCTGTTTTACTTCCATTTCCAGCTTGTGTACTGACCCTCCCTCATAATTTCATTGTTTCACTTTACGATAGATAGCCAAATGGATAATAATTATGAGTAACAGAACCATGTTCTATTAGAATGCATGTAATAAAAATTTAAGATGACTGAAGACCACCCAAAAATAGGGCTCAAATATGTAGTGAGTAATATACAAAATATTAGTCAGTTACTGATTTTTCAGTCTTGAACTCTGAGGAGTTCTCAGACAAATGTTTTTATTCTGCACAGCACAAAAAATATACGAGGGGGTACCCAAAAGAAACCGAACTTATTTTTTTTAAAACTTATTTATTCAAATTTTAAGCACAAACCTTCAATCCCCTTCAAAGTACTCTCCACTTACACTAATACACTTGTCTAGTCTTTTATTCCATTTTTCAAAACATTGTCTAAATTCATCTTTTGAGATGCTTGACAGCACCTCCGTCATTTTTTTCCTTCACCTCAGCAACATCAGCAAAACGGTTTCCTTTCATGTCTCTTTTCATTCGAGGAAACAAAAAAAAGTTTTGATCATTTCGGGACTCTTCTCTTTCAAAGCACAGCATGCTTCCACGCGACCTTGTTTTTGTTCAGCAGTCAGCAGTCGTGGCACAAATTTCGAAGCCACCCTTTTCATTCCCAAATATTCTGTCAAAATTCAATGAACTGAGCTCCAAGTCACTCCTGACAGCTCCACAATTTCTTCAGTGGTCCATCGTCGATCTTCCTTGATGATTTCACGAATTTTTTCAACATTTTCATGTTTGTCATCAATTGACATTTCACCATTTTTGAAATGGGAAAACCACTCAAACACTTGAGTTTTCCCCATAGCATCGTCCTTGTACGTCGTTTTTAACATTTCAAGAGTTTCTGCCCCACTTTCCCCGAGCAAAAAGCAGAATTTCACCGCCGCACGCTGTTCACGAAAATCAGCCATTGCAAAAACGACGATCACGCAAAACAGTTGTCACTATAAACTCTGCCGAAACTGGTCCTTGCGCCGCAAAATGCGGTACTACAAAAGCTCTGCCCACAAAAAAATTAGTTCGGTTTGTTTTGGGTACCTCATTGTATGATACATCAGAATCAACCTACATCTCCTCCCTCTATCTCCCTATAATGATAAAAGGACATAGAATAAATAAACAGCTACTTCCGCTCATTATTTTTTAAATGTGGCTCAAAACCCACTTACAGCAATAAAGGATCACCTTATTGAGGTTCACAATACTGTAGCATTGTTAGGCAATGACCACAAAACAAACAAAGACACAAGAGCCTTGCTAGGTAGCAACCAGCATGAGAATGGACTGGCTGAAAAGGTATGATTTGTGTGCTCTGCACTGATNAGCTATTCAACTGCTCTGAAGATGGAGGCGCTACGTTCCTCCGAAACGTCGGCCAAAACGAAGATTACACGGTGCCTAAACCCAGAAGACAACTTTCTTCATTGTCATCGCCGTGAAAACCTCAAAACTTACATAATGAGGAGCGGTGTTTTCTACAGGGTCCATGCCAAGGGGTTATAAAAGGGACAAAGATGGAGCAATTAGTCAGTTGTGGGATATTCACCAGATGGTACAAATATAAGCAGAGGCAAGCAGAATCAGCAAGTGGGAAATGACTAGTGAAGACACAGGAGACTGAGAAGACTTAGCACGTGCTGTAGTGAACTGCAGAGTGTGTGAATTAGCAATAGCTCTATAGATTTTTTGCAGTTACAATCTGTGAGTGGTCAATAAATCACATTACTGATCCGAACCCTGCCTACAGTCATTCAAACATGTTACAACAGGGAACCAGCAGCTGAAGGAAGTACCAGCTGAAACCAGCAGTCAGAGTGTGAAGTGTAAGACAGTGCTCACATTGCCAAGTTTCTTTGAGGCATTGCAGTGGTGAGCATCCCTCTTGTGGACGATTCATGTACAACTGTTAAGAATGGTCAACAGATTGTGCATTCTGCCGCTTTTTTTAAAGTTCAGGGAATTCTTTGAGTGTCGGAGGTGGTTCTGTAAGTAGGGTGTGTGTATGGCATAGCAATTTGCTCTCTATGGCTTTCTCATCTTGGTATTTTCTCAGCACAGCTGGGGGTCGATTTGTACCCTGCATCCCTGGTGGAAATCAGCCAAACCAGAGCTTATTCTGCAAGTTGTGCCTGGCAGATGTCCCATTCAGCATGATGTATGAAGTTAACCAGTGTGGCTGCATCTTCCGTAAAGACTGCATGCCAAGTTTAAAAAACAAGGAGTTATTTCATTATCAGAAATCAAAATTCCAGTCAGCAAGGAGTCAGTTGAGAGATATAGAACATTTTGTCTACATAGAGAAGTTGACCTTGATGTTAACAGAATGTGGTGCCCATGTACAGAATGTGAAACAGTATGAGATATTACTGGGCACGTAGACTGCTGTCTTCCCCAGAGTGTCCACTGCCCAGCTTGTTCAACAGACTTTTGTCTAAACTGCAAGAACCCTTGGAGCACAGGATTATCCTGTGAGCAGAACACAAGACGCCTGACAAAAAATGGACACACATATCTCATGCAACCAAGCTCCGATACCAAGCATTGGCCCACATGCAATATTTTTATTGAGAACAATGGCTGTGCTGTGATGTACTGTAGGTGTTGCCGGCATAGCTGCTTTCTATTTAGACATTATGACAAAGATCATTGTAAGAACAAATCTGGTCATTCTCAAGCAATAATTATCATTTTCCAAGCATTAATGATCATACCCATGACTGTATTCAGGATCCAGGTGCTGGTGGAACTCAACTCCTTCTGCTAGAAAAACTATGCATTTTCCTTGTGCATATGTTGTGCTGCCCACTGATGGAGGCATGGGGCTGGAAGAGTCCGAGTCAATTTCCGAGTTCAGGGGCAGGCACTCCAAGATAAACTTGGTCTAAAAGAAACTGAAGCTGCAGTAGACGTCTTCAAAAAAAGGTTGAATAAAATCGATACCACAGATTTGGAGGCCATAGCAGTTCATCAGGAAGTCCCCTTAGGAAGAGGCCACAGCAGAGATTGTCAGAGCAGAGGAGGACCAATCTGGGGACCAGCAACTGACCGTGGGATAACGAAATCCACACAAATAGGCGAAGGACAGACTGTCAAGAAGAGACAACAGAAGGATCTGGAATGCAGCAATGGAATAAATGACCAAGGAGCAAGACAGCAGCTACACCTGGGTACCAAGGAGATATTTTAAGAGGCCCTCAGACAAGCCATCGGCCTGGAGATCATGAGGCACACTGTCAGGTCTTCCATGAGAATTTTAAAAACAAGGGTTAAGACATTGTGGAGGAGTCAGCCACCACCCAAGCGAAAGAAGAGGCTACTAGCAGCGTAAGAACCAGAGATGTACAAGCATCAACCACTCTTGGAACTTCTGCCTGCACCGATTTGAAAAGAAGGATATGGTGGAACACCTGGACTGACTGGTGAGACCATTAAACCTGTTGCTAGGCAGAGGCCAGTGCGCCAATAAACTGGCTGGAAAGCGGTATTTTCTGCATAGTCCACGCAGATGGCTGTGCATGCAACAATGAATACTGAGCCATGTTCACATTTGGATGGCCCAGGAATTGCCCATTTTGGTTCAGTATCCTTCCCTCCTTCATCCCTCCCCCATGTTGTCACTTGTTTACCGTTATCGCACAATTCCATGTACCACATTATTCTCGCTTTCTCCAATTTTTTAGGAGGAAACCCTTCCGTATAAATAGCCAGAGTTAGAAGGTGATCTTTCATTCACCAGCACCTGGTGAGGTAGATGGTGAAATTCTGTTTTGGTTGAATGTTCTGAATTCTGTTTGGATTCCTATTCCAGCCATTGAGGGCAACAAACCAAATGCTGCAACAAGGGCTTTGTTGGGTTTTATTTTATTTAGTGGTTGGGCTTGTACTGCCCATTTTGTGACTGAGTTTGAAGAAGGGGTGAAGGTTTGATACAGTTGAGGAAATTCATGTGGAAACGCAGATGGTACTGAACACCCTAACAAAGAAAGACTTCCAGGATGCATTTCAAAAGTGGCAGAAATGCTGGGATCGGTGTATGCGCACCAAAGAGGACTACTCTGAAGGTGATAGTGCAGAATAAGATCCAGGTAAGACATAATAGTTTTTAATATATTTTGGGAACTTATGGATAGCACCACGTATTTGTTTGGGTTCACTGTTGGCCAATTTAGTATTGTTGTACAATACATAATGGAGTAACACTGTGATCTGGGTTGTCTCACAATGTTACGTAAGTCTGGCCATATTCTAAATCTAGGATGTGACTACCTTATGTATATTTTTTGTACTGGGCTTCAGTGTAGCCCAACCAAGGCGGTCAAGGGCATAGATTCAGATGCATATTTGAGTCTTTATTTATTTCTATATTTATATATTGTTATTAACTGTTATTAAATACTTTTTCTGGATATTCAGCTTTTTCTTACTAAAACTAAGCTTGGACACCCCATTCCATCTGGGCAGCACTGAGAACAAAACAACAGAACCAGAGACAGAGGTTGCAATCGTCCCCCAAAATGTAGTGTAAAGAGATGAGCTGTTAAATACAACAATAAGGAGCAGTGTTTTCTACGCGGTCCATTCTGAGGGATTATAACCGGGACAAAAATTGGAGTAATTAGTCAGTTGTGGGATATTCGCCAGACAGTAAGGCCATAAGCACTGGACACTGTCAGGTTACATTAAATGGAAACGGCTAGTGAAAGTGTAGAATAATTTGTGCGCTGCAGTTACACCGATCATTATAATGTATAAACCAGTGAGACTGTTATAGTTACTTGCAGTTATGAGTTGCATGTATAAGTGGTCAATAAACCAAATCACTAATCACTGTATAAACCAGGGATGCTGTTATAGTTACTTGCAGTTATGAGTTGCATTTATAAGTGGTCAATAAACCAAGTCACTAATCTAAACACCATCTATAGTCACACTGAAACACGTGACAATATTTTCAATGATGTATGTTTAGCAATAAAAAGCTAAAACTTCTATGAGAACTTCAAAGAAAGACCCAGACTGTTAAATTACACAAAACATACCCCTTCATCTTGTGGCATGTAGATAAAGTATGGCTGCTTACTCCTGTTCCCTTTAGTAGTCTGCCACTCATAGAAGCCATCACACACGACAACACATCGCTGACCCTTGCTGAATGGCCTTGAATATAGTTTAGAACTTAGTAAACCTTCTAAACGACAGTTGTTTGTTGATAGTCCATGTGATCTGTAGTCTCCCTAATGGATATAACAGAAATCATGTGACAATTTACAGTATCATGAATTATGTCATTTTACTTCATACCAATGCACAAAGTTAAAACAAATTTGGCCCACATAGACTGGGCAAATTATACACTGTGAAATAGGACAAAAAGCAACCTTACAGGTTCTGTTGATTAAATTGCAAATGTATCCCATGCAACAGTACTTCCTCCTACCACACTGCCCGCCTCCAGAGAACTAGCAAGATAAAATAGACAACAACATCCTCAGCCTCACTGGTCCATCACAGTTTCAGAACTGCTGAATGAGCTTCTATGAAATCTGACACTGGAAAGAGCTTTACCTTAAATACAGCGGAAACACATCTTATGCAGAGGTAATGTTCCAAAGATGGCATGTAAACCCCAAATCACGTCTAGTCAGAATTACCCTCGAAAATTCCTCAAACCACCCATTAGTACATACTTTTGTATACACCCTGTAGTATGCATGTATATAATGTGATATGACACCTGAAAGCCGGAACAGTTCATTGTTAGGCAACATCTCTGCAAGCAGGCTCCCACAAAAATGAACACACATGAAACAAAATAACCTGTTTCTAAGCAATGGATCAGTAAACAAAATTACAGGAAATTGCACAGTATGGATCCATATCCATATTAGGGCAACTAAATTCAAATAACTTAGTTTATGTTTTATGTAATTTGCCTTATTATGACCTAAGTAAAGGTCGAAACATGTAAAATACATCTGCTTACAATAATTGAGTAAGAGACACCTCAACAGCTATTTTGTCTCCACCTTGAAGGTATCCTTCTTTATGCTGTGTTGACGGTCCAATTCACACAACTATCAATTATATCACAGGACTCTAGATGCCAACTGGGGGAAGTTTGACAACTAGCCTAACGATTCAGAAAGTAAATAAAAACTGGTTATCAGTATAATGAAAGATTGAATACTGTACCAGTCTTATTCTTACTGTAGCTGTTACTGTTATTATATTGTGGTACACAGACCCATTGCTAGACAACAACCATAAGATAAGCAACTATACAACGGCAAATGCCAAGTAACGGCACCACAAACAAGCTTGTTTTGGCTGAAACAATTGCAGGGCAATAGAGGAGCGGTGTTTTCTGTGCGGTCTGCACCAAGATGTTATAAGCAGGACAAGTTTGGTGAGTTAGTGAATCTGTTAACATAATTCCTATATATATCTGGAACACACAACAGGATGCAGCCAATGAAGATATGTTTGAGAAGTACCTCATCAAGCATTTCAGATTTTTAAAAGTACTTCCTGACATGCTGTACCTTATGCCATGATGGGACCATACCCCACATCATAGGCTGTAGCATTCTCTCAGATTCACCACTGAAATGAGAGCCAGACACGAGGACAGGAGTGACATCTGTTGGAGCAACATTGTATGATGGTCTGTACTGCTGCCTGTTTTTGATATTATTGGCCCAGTTTGGTAGCTGATACTTGTCAGAGTTTTTACCTCTAAAGCTGCAAGCTTTCTGCACATCTTCTGCACACAGTGAGCTACAATAAAAACAGTAAACATAAGACTATTACTGCTTTAGTCAAATGTTCTAAAGTAGAATGGCATATCACACTTACATATTAATGGGTGACTATAGAAAAAAATTGTGGCTAATATTTATAACAATTTTATGAGGTTTATTCAATTACGTTTTTCTTCTTTTTTAGATTAGTTTTACAATGCTGTCAGTATCTCTGACTATACTGTCAAAGGGTGGTAAAAAAAAAAGGTAAAGCTATCCCTACAACAGGCCATGGAGGCCCATAGGGTTTTGAGACATTGAGGCTCCCACATTTTTTAGACAACCAACTCACATATGGCAGCAAGGTTGTCAGCCTTATGCACTGGCTGCCCTTTACTCCCATGGGTGGTATGAATGACAAATAATGATTTTAACAAATAAATAATTTTAAAACACCTTGAACGAAGCAGTCATGGCCTACTAAAGGTACTGTTCCAGCATTTCTCCGAAGGGACTGTGGAAAAGCAACAAAAACCTCGTTCAGAATAGCCAGCATAATAGCATTTGGAACAACCATCTCCCATATATATATATATATATATATATGTCTAAACATCTGGCTGACAATACGTTTGATCATTTACAGCATGGATGTTCACTTGTGAGCACACACATTTATAAAATCAATGGCCATAACAAAGGACAGCCAACCATGCTTAAACCAATTGCCAACATGCATCTTCACCATCTTTCTGCAAGACATTATGCTGCACTATCTAAAAACTCAGTCACTTACACATAACTTCATTAAATTTAATCTGAATTTGCTCAACAGAATTCAAATTTTTAGGGGGGGGGGTGTTAAACTGTTCACCTCATTCTTCATTGTGGCAAATGACAGAGATTTGTCATTCTGAAACAAATTCAGTGTACAAGATAACTCCTGTGTCAGGCTGACAGCTGTGGACCCATTCTTGGACATAAAACTTTGCAAATAGTGGTGAGCTGAAACCCACCCAGCTCACCTGTTCATATATCAGTACGTGATCAGTACTGCAAATGCTGAGTTTATAGAAAGGGTCTACAAATCATTGGATAAGAGGGAAATAAGTATAGGGATATTTCTGGATCTGTCAAAGGCATTTGACTCAGTCGATCATGATATATTGCTAAGGAAGATGACAAGAATAGGAATAAGAGGGGTTGCACCGAAATGGTTTCAATCATATCTAGAAAACGGGGAATAAAATGTGGAAATTACAAGGTGGTTCAAATATGACTGGGACTGATTTTTTTTAACCATAACTGCCAAACACTTCCTTGCACATGTCAGTCTTCAACATACTCCCCTCCGGAGTCAACACATTTTTTCCAACATTCTGGAAGCATCCTGATGCCCTTTTCAAAAAGGGCTTGTGGTTGGAGGCGTATCCATTCCCGAACAGTCTGGATGATGGCGTTGTTGTCCATAAACCACACGCCTTGCAAGTCTGATTTGATCCTTCCGAACAGGTAGAAATCACATGGGGCCAAATCAGGACTATATGGTGGATGTGTCAGAAGGTTCCATTTCAATTTCTGGAGGGTTTCCATTGTTGTTTTGGCCATATGGGGGCGTGCATTGTCTTGAAGGAAAGCTACCCCCTTTCCACCTGTCTTCCACTTGGATCGGATCTTTTCCTTCATGCCTGTTGCCAGGAGGTCTGAGTAATAAGCTGCATTGACTGTTCTGGCATTTGTCAGAAAGTCTACATGGATAACCCCCTACCAGTCCCAGAAGAATGTTGCCATCACTTTTCCTGCCGAATGGCTCCTCCGCGCTCTCTTCAGTTTAGAACTGGTATGCCGCCACTCGCGTGATGACTGCTGGGACTCGGGAATGAAGTAGTGCACCCATGTTTCATTGGTGGTCACTATAGACTTCATAAATGCATCACCTTCATCTTCAAACTGCTATAGGAGATGACTGGGAGCTTGCATGCACACCATTTTGTTCACGTCCATCAAAGTGCATGGTACCCACCGTGCATTCACCTTGCAATAGTGCAGGTGATATTTTACAATGTCTTCTACACTACCAACACTGATGGACAGCATTGTTCCAAGTTCCTTGATAGTGATGCACCTATTCTCACGAATAAGCACATCTGCACAATCAGTGTTTGGCTCAGTGATGGATGTTCGTGGCTGACAATCATGCAGTTCGTTCTCCATGTGTTCTCTGCCCTCTCTGAAGCGCTTACAACACTCAAACACATGGGTCCATGAGAGACGCTCCTCCCCATATTGTTGTTGCAGTCTGTGGTGAATTTCAGCGGACGAGACATTTTCTCCAAAGACGAATTTGATCACAATGCGTTGTTCCACGCTCATCACTCTAGCAACTCCCAGACAGGACTGAACAGGTTCTAACCCGAACAGGAGGGAGGGTGGAGGTTGTGGCTTCACTCTCTCAAGGTCGCACAGCTGCTGCGCAGTGCAGCTTGTTTGCTCACAAATCAGTCCTGGTCATATGTGAACCACCTTGTACATACAGATGTAAAGAAACTAATGAAATTACTATCTATCTCTCGCGAAAGAGACCCATAAGACATGGAGTCCCACAAGGTTCTGTTCTCGAACAAGTGTTGCTTTTGCTATATATCAATGATCTAGAAGCCAGCATTGAACATGGAAGACCAACGTTTTTTGCCGACGATACTGGTATTCTTATAACAGGAAATAGTGCTAATGATGCCCAAGGAAAAATAATTCAAACAATAAATGCATTCACAGAGTGGTTTGAAAGGAATAGATTAATTATTAATAAAGAAAAAACAATAGCAATATCCTTTCATCAACCTCAAAAAATACAAGTCGAATGCCCATCAATAAAGCTCTAGATACAGTCATCAATTATACAGAACATAAAAAATTTTGGGGAGTTTGGTTGGATAAGAATCTAAGGTGGACTGTACATACTCAACAACTAGCAAATAAATTATGTAAAATATGTAAGATTTGAGGCTTTCACAGCGGTGACTATGAAGAAAGCAGTCTTCTGGGATTTGGCACCGTGTATATGTGGTGTTAACCGACGTTCC